TGCACTCTCATCACCCGAATTTGCACGACATTTTTTATGGGCTAAAAAACCGATTTTCTACTTCGACCGTTGCGCCAGCCCGGCCCCAGATTTATATTTTTGCTAACATTTCTTGATTTATCATCATCTTGGTGTCATTAATGTTACACTCTCATTATTCTTTACCATAAGCAAAAATATTTTAAGAATTTTGAAACTTTGTTTGAAATGTTATTCGTGGTTTTTATAATTATCTGTTCGTTTTTTTGAAAATCGTAAAATAAGAAATAATAAAAAACTATTTACAATAGCATTAACAATACCAATTAGTTCGGCTACTTGTGAAAATTGTTTTAGTGCAATGAAAAAAATAAAAACTTGGCTAAGGACATCGTTTGTTCAAGATAGCTTCAGCGATCTTTCAATTCTATGTATCGAAAAATATAAAATGCGATAATATTTTGAATATCTTTGCTGATACAAATAGATATTTGTCATAAAATAAAATATTAATTATTTTTCAATATATGTTATTAATTGTTTTTTTATACAATTTAAGCACATCTATATTTTTAATAGTAATGTTTTACTTGTGCATGGGAAAGAGGTGTGGGGGCGAAGCCCCTGTGGGTAATTTACATTGAATTATTTAGCCCCCCCCCCAAAATTCAACCAAATGTCCACCTATGGTTACGTATTACCGAAATATGTAACCGAACCGTGTGTGGTACAAGAGGTTGAAATAACATTGTGATCCCTCATTCGCGATGTGCAATAAAATTCGCAACAGGCACGTGTGAGCAGGCCACGTGAGTTCTTGTACTGCAATTGTTGCAGTTGACTGGTCATGGCGTCCAGTGTCGGATTATATGGTCATAATATAAGTGGGGGAGTGGGGCTCTTATTTTTGGTGAAGCTCTCTCATCCAAAATGGAAGGGTTACATTATTATAATAATAAAATTTACCTACTCATGTCTCTTAAAATAAATAAACACGATCAAAATTTATACGGTTCAAATATATGCATCTGAAATATGTACGGACCAAATAAGAATCGTCAAGATTTCTAAATTGAGTTATATCTACAGTTTTAAATGTTATTGTTTCGTGAATGTTCCCAAAAGTCAATAACTCAACAATAATGAACAATAAAGTACGTAATTGAAAAAAAAAATTATTTTTATAATTCAATGCAATATAAACTTATGAACACATATTTTGTAGTTATTTGAAATTCATTTATTTATTACATTTTAAAGATCTGCATAGGTTAAAATGGTTAAATTAATTCTGACTTTCTTATGATTTTTTTGCAAAAATCAAAAAAAAATCACCAACAAAACTTAATTTGCCTGAGACGTAATAAATTTCATAAAGACGCTTCAAGATCTATATACTTTCTAACATTTTCACTCATCACACACGTTGAAAAATACTCTTAAAAATTTAATTTTAACCATAAATGTTATTACTATAAATGTTGCAAAGAAACATCATGGTAAATTAATGGGTAAAAAAGGAGTGGTCCGAAAAGGTATTTCGATACGTACCGGAGTACGTATATATATATCAAGCATTATTAATAAATTATAAATAAATAAATAGATCATAAATGTTACAAAAATAAGTATAATTTTGTACACATATTAAACTTATATATATATATAATGAAATCTATATATGATAGAAACAAATATTTTTTTTCTTAATTTCCATTGTTCCTCTCCATAAAATTTTCGACGAACGCCCATAAATAATACCTTGTGCTTTTTAGAATGTGTGATAGCGTCAATATATACACCACTACAATCACCACTAACGTGTTTTTTATTTTCTACGTTAGTTAAATCTTAATTACATATTGTAATTATGTTATCGTTTCATCCTATATTTTTGGAGGTTCAAAGCAGAGATAGTAATCGAAACGAAAAGAGCCGGTTATGGAATCGAAACCTTTTAAATAGTAAGAACCATCACCTTTGTATTGATAAATAAATAATAAAATCTAATAGGAATTTTTAAACTATAAAGGTTCCTTTAGGTTTCAAAATAAAATAATTTTATTTAGCATCATTTATTAGTTATTACTATTTTGTTTATAATAAGGAATCTATTATCATAATATTTGTACCTAAAACTATAAAAAATTTACAATTTGAATAGATACTTATTTAAAATTATAATATTTTTGAAGTATTTTTTACATGTATATTTAGCACAAAATAGTATTATTTGGAAATGTCTTTCCTAGAATATTCCATAATTGGAATCAATATTATATTATCTTCAAAATAAAATGATGATATAAAATAAAATAAACACATTGCCCACTAATGTATTATTCTAGCAAACGATGTGTAAGAGAAACGTTCCATCAATCGAAAATAATATCTTAGTAACAGTAATTTTCAATTTTATAATAGTATCACTGTGTTTCATTATTTCATAGGGCTTACGTTAATTAGTTTACTATTATAATATTATAATTATAATGCACTTTAACAGGTGGACGCAGTGGCATCTAACCTTATGTCCATGTGTTGCGGCTACAACACATCTTTTGGGTGTGTCGTATACGCCATGCAAATGATTGACGTATACTCGCATAACAGATATATTTCGGTTATTAAGCCTCAGAATATATATTAAGACCGTCAAACAAGTAAATATTGATGATACCTTTGGTTAAAACTTATTTAGAAAATTGAGACCTTGAAAAAAAATATTTGTTATGATTTAATACATTATTGCCCAACCCGCAAACGTATTCAATGTGGGCTTTTTTTTTAATTTATTAATTTTATTTTCGAACATTTTCAAATAGAAATGTCACGATATAAGCTGCACACTTAAAAGAACATACTAATCAAATTAATATGTAACTACAGCGTGTATCTCAATCTATAATCTTTTCAGTAGTCAATAAAATAATTTAAAATAAATTCAATATGTACTTATATGTATATTGTATACCTACTAAGTGTAATAAAATAACATTATTAGATGAATACTGATATTATTTGTATCTACTTTTATATTTTGTTACTCTCTCTAAAATAATGATAATTATGTACCAAAGTGGCCCACCGAGGAAAAAAAGTTGGACATAACTGATATGATATATTGCAATATGTAAGAAATAAATATAAGATAATATTCTAGTAATCGTAGGTTGATTTAACAGACGCTGTGTCTAGTTATAGATAGATACTTATACCCAGGCGCTCGTGTAGATAACAATTAATACGTGTATGTTATCAGCTAACCAATCTGTTTTCCGACATGGTGCTTCTTAAATAATTTTTTAAGCGATTAAGTGCAGAAAACGTTTTCTTGGAAGAGATAACTGGTAACGTGGCGAATAATTGTAAAAGTATTTTAATGTTAGGTTGAAGATTGGTGCAATGAGAGAGTGAATCACCAGCAGAATTCGGTTTTAGAATAGTATTTTGACTCTATTGTTGCCTCCGTATGAACAGCTTAGCTCTGATTGTAGATGAGGTATCATCATGGAGATCTTGGGCATATATTTTAACAGCTTTTATAATATTTTCATCGTCATACATATTTAAATTGGCCGGAATAAGTCCTTCAAATGACATAACATCAATAATCCTTTGATTAAAACGAGCATCCATTGTTTATATTAAATAGTCAAGAAAAGAAATAAAAGTAGAACATTTAAAATATATTTCTGGATTTTCAGATATAAAGTTTTCTTTCTGAGTTTGCCTTTTACATACTCGTGGCATTTTTATTATTTAACACTTTTTCTCATGTTGACAACGTTATTAAATATTTGATAGTGACTCGCCACAATCTTGTATGATAACCATCAAAAATATAGTGATAATCATGATAGAAACTAGAAGTATTAGTAATCTGTAATATCTACGCCAAAAACAAACACCTGTTATTCGTTAATCGTCAAAATTTAGTTAATACCAAAAGTTTAAAATGCTTAAATAAAAATAGTAGTATACTAGTTTAGTACATAGATACACTATACATAAAAACACGGCCCATGAGGGGAGGCTATAGCTCCCTTAGCCCCCCACCCCCACCCCGCCTTGGCTACGCCACTGTATGGTATGTATGGTATTCGCATAAGTATCCTCTCCGTACCCGACACTTGAGTACTCGATACACTAACACATTATTTAATTATTTAACGGTAGTTATAAAACTGGAATGATAGATAACAGTATCTAATTTTATACGAAAAGTTTTCGTTTTCTATTTCTTAATTTGTTTTCATATGTAAAATAAAAAAACCACAACATATTTAATAAAAACATAACAATTATGGCAAGTGTTAAATAATATTATTGTTAAATAATACAACAAAATAATTATTATTGTTTTATTTTAATTTTTTTTTCATACTGTTTTTTTTTTCTGTGACTAATAAAACCAAATATAAGAATTGAACAAATATGATCTTATCTACAGATAACATATTTTAAAATATGAAAAATAGGTATAATATTCTTTAAACCTCAAAATATGCTTAAATGTATAAAATTCAATTTTTTTTTTTTACGATCTCAGACCGACAAATTAAAAGTAATTAAGAATTTTAAATTAATTTTTTTAAACATTTTAGACTATATAGTGCAATTTATTTTTACTGACCAGTCATAATACGTTGTAAGATCGTTTTTTTTTTCGAGAAAAATTAATTTGTTTTTAGTTTTTACACCCTATACAACTTTTATAAATAAATGTGTGTAAAAGAAAAAAATTATAGAGGTCTGGGCCTCATAGGCTACCTAAAAAAGTTTTGTAGATCTTAGACTTTGGTAAAGGAACGCTCCTTAATTTTTGGTAATTATAGTCCTTTCCTATATTTACTATGTGTATTTTATATTGTCTACATATCTAAACAAATACAATATTTTTATGTAATTAGATAATTGACTTTATGTATTATTATAATATATTAAAGCAACATAATGTTAAAGTGAATAAATAAGTTTTATTTTTATATTTTTTTAAATAAATAAAATGATAACAAATATATTGTCTTCTAAGGTTACATAGATATATAATGGAAAATATAATTTTTTTTTTGAATAATTATCACAATTATGTAGAATAATAAGAAAATATGATGAACGTGTTGATGTTGTGGTCAATCGATCAAGATAGAATCATGGTCTAAAAAAAAAGTTACAATTACAATGTTAAATATTATATTACATTGGTATATTAAAAATTTTAACAAGCTAGATAACAATATATCAATATATCAATATTTATTTTTAAATTGTAAAAATGGAATAGTGTAAGTACAAATCACATATTATCATACCTATATTTACGTATACGTTTCATATGACCGTCACATTATTGTCTTGGTCTGTTACCACCTCTTGGAGGATTGTTCGTTCCTGCTGATGGTCTGCTATTATTTGCAAAAGACGACACGGTACGGTTCGCGAAACGTATGCGGACGTCCTGTGCGATCATGTTTGGCGTCAAAAATTGTTGGAGGGTTACCACGCCGTTGCGAGGTACCCGGTCGAACGGATAGCCCATAGACCTAGAATCCGGATATCGAGCGTTGCGCAGACCGCAATAACTGGAAGCGTCGTCACATGTTTGATCGGCCCCTTGTGCGTTCTCCACCTAAATTTTAAGAGTTACGAATCGTTATAATATTAACATTAGCTTGGTGTCAACAAGTCCCTTAATAGATTTTTGAAACACTCCAGGGAATCGTTGTTGGTGAAATATAGCACGTAAAGTAATTGTTGGAAATATATCCAGTGCAGATTTATGAACGTTAAAATAAATTTTTCAAGAAAATAATAATATATCGAATCAGTAAATATGAGTCTGAATAAGTCATTATCATATGGACACCAAATGGATATTAAATTCCAATATGTACCTGATCGATCGTGCCGTCAGACACCATGACAAACAATTGACATTGCAGTCCCTCTGCAGATCCTTTGGGTATTAACAAGTTTTGAGGCCATCCACAACCACAGAAATTAAATGCTTCCGCTTCAGCTGTATTGTCAGCAGGACGGTTATTATCTAAGTTACGATAAGTTGCTTCATGTGGTATGGTTACTGATGACTCCAAAGATGAACGAGTTATTTCATTTCTTCCTCTCTTTACTATACAATGAATTATATTTAATAATTGCGTTTAATTTATAGAGACTTATACCATAAATTAAACTATTTTTAAATTAAATTAAATATAATTTGTAACATGTTTTACAAGTTTCCAAGAAAAAAAACAGTTATTTTTAACTTTCTCAATAAAATATTATTTAATTGTATAATAATATTCTTACTACCTATTTTTTGCTGCAAAACTTACGTGATACACTAAATTTATCAAGTTCGACAAATAGTTTCCTCTGATCTCTGTATAATATTGGGGAACCACGTTCATCCAATTTGGGAGCAATAAAAATTCTAACTTTTCCAGTTCGTTGGTTTCCATTATTTTCAACCTAAATTAAAAATATTTTTCAGTTTAAATCATGAAAAAAAAGTGTGTTATGAAATTTGTACTGCAATTTATTTTATTTAGTTGTCTATCTATAATATTTTTAATAAAACCTGTTGTTATCTGTACTGTAATTGTGTATTACATTTAATTTTTAATTATCAAACAAAATAAAATGTTCCAAAATTAAAATTAAATTATATGAGCTTACAACAATTTTATAGTTGAATGGAGCATGTTGTAAATGAGTGAATCGAGCCAATATCGGTCCACGAGGCAAAAAGTCTAAGCCTCTAGATAATTCAACGTCACTTTTTTGCCAGAACGTCGCAAACTCGTTACGCGGTATTCCGGTAGCCGTTACTTCAACACTTTGTACTCTCACATTTTCGAATGTCAACTAAATTTTAACACGAATTTGATCGTTAAAGCAACAAATATTTTGAAAATTTACCGGGGTTTTACATTTTGAACAGTGTAGCTAGGTATTGTAGATTTAAATTCTTGGAATATGTCGTCAATATACGCATGCCAGCGGTAAAATATGGGATCACGCATTGCAGTTGCCGAGTCACCCATAACACCAAAGTTTTCCTATTTACATTACGTTCAAAATATTTAGTTGATCGATCAATAAAATACGAATTAATTAACTGTTAAAAAAAATAAATATTTTTACCAAATATCTATTATCGGGATCATGGATATAGGAAATGGCAAGGTGGCCATTGTTATGAAGAGTGCCGTACAAATTTGGATTTGGACTCAGTGTACTAGCCTCTATAATATTACCCAATATGTCAATTCCTCCTTGTTCGGTTAATCGAACTTGTCTACCGTTAGTCTGTTGAAAAATAAACAATTTTTAAATTTATTTTGACACTTAAAATAACAGCAAAAAACTTTATTTTTGTTATTTATTAACGACGGCCTAGTGTTTAGGTTTGGTCAAAAAATAACGCACCACATACATCAAAGTTTTTTTAAAAAAAAGATAAAAAATAGACACATTACATCTACAATAAATCCAGAATGTATAGCATCGAATATACGGTCTCTCCATCGTTCTAGGTCTTCTATATCAAATGCTACTTGATCTGCAGCTCTGTTTATATTCTGTTAAACAAAAAAACAGTTGAATTAATGCTACTTAGAATGCAGTAAAAACACAATTGATAACAAATTAAAATATTACACTTAGTCTCGAGTTGGCTGGTCTAGACGGCCACACGGTATTGGCCATAATATTATCCAATTTCGGAAAGTAACCTTCTGTCAATGGATCATTCCAATGAGTCAAGCGTTCTACTCTATTCATACCATTGCTCAACCGTTCCATATTATATCTGAATAAAAATTATATAAAATATTATTGGGCTCGTACATCATAATAATGTTCCAGACAGAATTCTTAACCCTCAAAAAAAATACGTCATTATATCATTGTCTTTCTGAATTTACCTGGCTATGATCTGTTGATGCATGTAATAGAAAAGTTCACCACGCCTATCTTTGTTAACAACGCTTTGTGGTCCCTCAAACGGGTACACCAAATGCCAGTGCCAGTGGTGAAGATTTAGGCCAATGTCTTCGCGGAAATAGCTGAGTTTATGCTCTGGGTCTAGGTCAGTGGCGGTAAAATCTCGCGGTATTTCAATTGCAATCTATATAGTGTGTACAGCAAAGGTTACATTACAAATATCCTTATTCACAGTAGGGCTCATGACATAAACAAAAAATTGGCGTGGACTGAAAATCTACTTGATTTTATACACTTTTTTATTATACTTAATCAATTGGTACTATGTCAATAAAATGAAGTGTATTACAATATATATATAGTACTATAATACAATGTCTTGGAAATATGTGTTTTCTCTGTCTTACAAACGTGCAAATCTACGATAAGTAGAACTAATTTTTGTGTAGCTTTTATGTTAGAATACATCGGTTTTTTATATTTTAATTTTATGTAAGTTATGAGTATATAAAATATTACAATCTAAAAAAAACTTGTCACCCGCTTAATAATTAAAATATCATAAATAATCGTTGTATAAACACAGATAATGTGTTTTTCTCATTAAATTTAATAATAGATCAGTTTTTCTAACATAAAATATTGTAATATAAGAATGGTTTTACTGAAAACAAATTTTCTATGTCGCAAGTTTGTTTGACGGAGACATTACATATATATGGATAATGGGTAGCATCCATAATAATCCAGATTCAATAAAACAAAATAATTTCTCGAGGATTTGTCCGTAACGATTATAAATTTATTTATAAATTGTAATTATTATTACAAGTTTTTCGCATAAAACTATGCTTCTTTAAAAATATTATTCAGCTTCGAAAAAATTCGGTAGCCACCACTATTTACCCTCAACCTTATGCGAGATAATACATACTCTGGAACCAACTGGAACTACTTCCGCTTCCTCTCTGGCTCGAGAAAAAACACCGGACTCCATGTATAAACTTGGAAACATTTCAATATGTGAAGGTAATCGTAAATTACGAGTTTCGGGTCTATGTAGCATAACTACAGAAAGGGCGTAAATAAACATGTACGAGTTGACTCGATCGCGGCAATACACCGCTAATGACATGAGATCGTCAAGCGATTTTGTTGCTATAAAACGTAAGAATTACAAATATTATTTACTTAATTTATTATACATTTCAGGAACTTCTAACATCTAAAATGTAATGAACTTCCATTTGTTGAATGAATATAGATTTATAAATAAATAGTTTGCACACAAAAATAAATAATAATAAATTAATAAAAAAATAAATAATAATAGTATAATAACAATAGTAATAATAGCTATTAACTAGCGTAAAGCATTATCATATTTGTAATGTATGACCAGTTAGAATTAAAAATTCGTCATCAGGTACATACAAGATACTAATTAAATATTCTTATATTATTAGTATATTAAATCAATCAAATTGCGATCTAAAGATTCACTTATAGAGTGTTATTAGAGCGATTTTATTGAATTTATAATCTGATAATGAGTTTTTAATTCGAAATCGGTCGTACATTACAAATATAATAATACTCCGGACTAAGCATTTATTAACTAATTTATTTATTTTAGTATAAAAACTGTTTGTTTTAATATTAATTTACGAGTATTAACAATTCAATAATTTTTGTTTTATTTTATTACTTTATTATGAACGAATATTTTACTAAAAATAAGCGTATAGTTACCCAATAAAACTTCTATGAGCCTTGAAGCCATTTTAGTATGGCTCTGATTAAAAAGCGAAAACGATGCATTTCTGGGAAGTGATAATGGCAATGATAGGTCTGGGATATTATTCAACTTCTTGACAGGGATGGTTTTATCACCGGGAAAACGATTTTGAATGTCGGATTGCAGTGGTTTGTATCGGTCAATCTAAATTAACAATTAAAAACACATAATAATATTTTCATAAAGACTGTAAATAAACTCAAAACGACTCTACATTTGAGTCAAATACGTAAGTAAAATGAAAAAATCAAAACTCACCAAATAATCAGATGGTACTTCGAAAGAAACATTATCATCGCCTTTTGAGACAAATAAAGGTTCGGTAGGTCGATCAAACAAATATAAAATATCATTTTTATTCGCCATAGTTTTTTCTGAAGAGTACCTAAAAAGTAAGTCTTGAGATAATATTTACTTATTAAAAATTGAATATTATTATATGATCAAATTTTTTTTAATTTTAATATCTTATACTAATATTAAATTATTTGTTTTTAATTGTAGTGTATTTATTAATTATTTGTTCGTTTGAATATGTTTCAGAAGTGAATTGTTATTTTACTTTGTCAACTTTAAATAAGTTAATTAGTTTAATATAATTTGAAATTTTTAAAAATGTTAATGTATTTATAGTATTAGGTATAACATAAAAATAGTTGATTCGATATTAAGTTATATATAATTACCAACGCGTCTATTAATATTGGAGAGAGAATTGTCAACTTTAAAAAGCAACTGCAGTAGTATCTCAACTGATGGTAGTCTCTTATATAATGCTCTTTTATGTCAATTTAAAAACACTAAAATTAAGATTTGATACATTTGCGGTTAGTATTAATTTCCCACAGTAATTCACAAGGAAAAGGCGTTATCGTATTTTTATTCCTAACCGTAAAGATTAGATAAAGCTAGATTTTTTTTTTTTTTGAATATGATGGTTTGAATGTTTTACTCGTGAGAATTTCCGAGTTATAACAGGATGTTCTGGTTTGGTAAAATTATCGTAGAATAATAAACTAAATAGAAGCATTTGTACAACAAAAATAAATATTTTACAATTATTTAAAAAAAATATCTGTTTTAAGTTTATTGTTTTTTGTTACGGTGAATCCTTACTAAGTATAAACTATTTAAATGTAACTTACATGCACTTGGCTTGGAATTTAATATATATCAGTGCTTCCCAAACTTTTTCGACCCACGGTGCCCTTTTTGATCTAAGGTTTTTCATGGCACCATTCCCTATAAGTCATAGCATGATTTATCATAAGGAAAATTTATTTTTAGATCAGATAGTATTTCATGAAGGCCCCTGTGCATACATCGCGGCATACAGTTTGGGAACCGCTGATATATACAATTAATTAAGAAAGAAGATGTCTATTCCATTTTTGTATAAGCCCGAAACGAAGAGACGACGATTTTCATGAAGTAAAGGAATATGTAATCCTTTTATTAGTGGGTTTTCGTGATTTTCTTATCTAGAAAAAAAAGTGACTATAGAAAACTGCCGCTTCTTCGATTATTTAGATTGTAAGGTCTTTGTGAAGGGTCAAATTAGAAACATAGTGAAGAACGCTTATAATCTCTCAAAGTGTAACACATATTTTGGAATATTTGTATACAGTTTAAATTCGATTTTTTTGCCGATCACCATAGTTAAATCCCACACGTTCATATTGGCTTTATGAGGGTTTTATATATTAGTAATTTAGTAAATAGAACATGTTCACTTTACCAAATTAATTTTTTGAAATTAATATTTTTAAAGAGCGGGAATATACATAAAGACTTAATCATAATTTTTAATATAATTTGGCCTAGTTAGTCATCTATCGAAATTTAGACCTAAATATTTAAGAGTCGAGAGAGAGGATATGTGTATTATCAATGGTAATATTAGGGCAAAGTCCGTATCCTAATGAGAAGCTTGTATAGACAGATTTATTGTGATTTAATTGAATTTGCCATTGTGCTTACCATTTAGAAAATGAATATAAATAAAATTGTACATTTTCAGACACAGTTAATGGATCTTTGTGCATTGGTCATATGACTTTGTCATTTATATAGTCAGCTATAAGATTATATTGAATAGTGGGTTGCTCAAACACATAAATATTAAACAATATACTCGAGTAGCTTTTTTAATGTGCAACGTCGGTACTAATGCACCGTACTTGGGTACAATACACACACGGTTTCAGAGTGCGGAAAAAATGTTGTATGGGTGCATAAAGAGAGCCAACGTGTAAAATCTTACTGTTATACAGTACCTATTCAGTGACGTATCCTGGATTCATTTAACGGGGATGATTTAAAATGTAATAGACTTATGGTAAGTGAGGGACTCTGTCCCCCCTCCGTATTATATTAATAAATACCATGTATTTATATAAATTATTATTCCTATTATGGTAGTATACATAAAATCTACAAGTTGTATACAATGTTTATTCAAATTATACTTTAAGTTTACAATTTGTCGAAATACCATAAAATACGGCCGATGAGGGGTGTGTTAACATCCATATCATCCCCCTAAATACCCCACTGGCAGTATCTATACGGTTCTCACCGTTTCTCATTTTTGCGAATGCAAATGGTAGTTTTCCATTCATACAAAGTGTAGGTATTTTACAATGTTTACACATAAACTTATTCTTTTGCGATAGTAAAATAAAATAATTCTATTAAAAAAAACTATTTAGATTTCATTTAAATCTTTACGTGGTGTTTTTAACTTTCAGTTAGGCGGAGAAAGTATTAATTAGTTGCCAAAAATCGAATATCTCGATATTATTCTTGACCGGAGACTCACATAGCAAGCAAACTACACCAAGGTTATCTAAGACCGAAGATGTTATACCGTCTTTTAAATCGACATACCAAATTGGAAATGTTTCTTATTACTTTACAAACAGCTGCTACGTCCTCTCATACTTTATCCATAATCAGTTCGGAGAACTGCCTCAAATACCCATATCAATAAAATACAAATGAAATTAATTAACTTAATATAAAATTTTAAGAATTCTATCAAACGCCCCATAGTTAAACAGAAACGCGGCACTTCATATTAATTTTCAAATTCCCACAATTAAAATTTATATAAAAATATTATAGATAAAATTTAAAACACAATTGTCCAAATAAAAATGAGCACAATTTGATCGCTTATTTGATTTTCTCCAACGTTGTCAACTGAAACGAGGTCGTCCACAGGATAACTGGGGCTTTCAACTTAAATCTATGATTTTTTATTTCATTTTATACTTAAATAATTGTTAACTTACACTACGTTACAATTAGATTCTTATTATTATTTTTTTTTTATATATAAATAGCTGAAAATATTATAAACGTCAAACTACATTATTATTATTACTAAATTTAAATGACATGGTCAGTAAAACATATATTAAAAAATAAATAAAAATACTTTCAGTTATAATCTATTTGATATAGTTATAATAAACTAAAAAACATAAATACCTAGTTATACTATAAAATATTTGAATTAGAATAATTTACCTATGTCCAGAAGATTTAAGAAAATAATTATTATACATGAATTATGTTGTATAATACCTAGTTACCTATTTAATTTTTGAAAAAATAACTTGCTTTTTTATATGATTGATCTAACACATAGGCGTGCGCACGGGGTATGCAGGGTATGCCACTGCATACCATTTTTTATGACTAATATTATGTTAAAAAACAATGGTTCCCGTACATTTAACATAACAATGTATTAATAATATTGTAACTGTGAACCATAGTGTTAGTATAACTATATAAATATCATTATATCGATAGTATGTTCATAGGCGTGCGCACGGGGTATGCAGGGTATGCCGCTGCATAGTCTGCGGCTTCATGTGAGGGGCCCATATTTATTATTAAGTTAAAAACTTTAAATTTAATTACCGCCACAGGAAATTTAAATCAATTAAAGCTTGATAGTAATGATATTTCAATGTTGAAGGAAAAATTTAATTTGAATACTACATTTGAGTCTGAAATTAAGCTCATTACAAATATGTCTGATAGAACTTCTATTAGAGGGTTATCAACTAAAACAATTGTAGTATGGCTGAATTGGTTATCAGAAAACGACCGGAAAACAATATTTTCAAACTTCAATAAAGCTTTAACACAATTTTCAACAATACCTGTGACAAGCTGCTCGTGTGAGAGGGATTTTTCTAAATTGTCTATTGTAAAGTCTAAACTTAAAAACACTATGTTACAAGAACGTCTTGATTCACTGATGTTAATATTTATCGAGCAAAAGATGGCATCAGAAATCAATATTGAAGATGTAATAGATGAATTCAAAGCATGTGTGCCAATAAAAAGAAGACTTGAACTTTAGATTTTAAGTACTCTCCATAAAATAACAACAATATAAACATGTTAAAATTATTCAAAAGCATTCAATATAGTACATACTTGATCTTAAATAAATAATAAATTTTTTTTTAATAAATATAAATCAAATTTCAAACTACTTATTTCTACAGTGCATTGTTTAATATTCTACTGTAAAATTATGTGTGATTTTAGATTCTAAGGGAAGTAAAGAAGCTACGTAGTATATATGCAAAAACTTAGATTGTGACTTGAATCTTATATGCGTTAAAAAAAATGCAAATAAATTAAGGGAAGATTAGAAAATTTATTTATGAGGGGCCCTATATTTCTTATTGCATAATCTGCGAATAAAGTCTGCGCACGCCTATGATCTAACATAAAGCTATAATTAACTTTTCCATAACTAGTATGAATTAAATTATGTTTGGTTTTATGATTAATTTTTATATTATGTAACTGATCGAATAAAATTTGTATTTAATAATTTACATATTCATAATATTAAAAGTAAATATTATATTTATTTCGTCTTAAAACATACATTTTTTTGTGAGATGTTTGTTATTTTTAAATTAACTGTGTTTAAATTTAGACTATTAAAAATGAATAAGGTAATAATTGTGCATTTTCATTTTTTTGATATTATACTGGGCGTAATGAACTAAAGATTATAAAAGTGTAAAAAATTTCAAGAACATTAGTTAATGAAAAAGATCAGTTTCGGTAGAGTTGAAATAACTATAGTTTGATAATATTTAATGACTTTATTTGTGTATTAAGTATATATTGACAACCTTAGGTTATATATCCTTAGATTAGGTTCATAATTAATAAATAAATAATAAAGTAAATACATGAAATAAATAAATTTTCAAATTAAATTTGTAGATAGTATAACTATTAAGTTTTATAGCCAAAAAACAATATTTTACGAAAATCTTAATTTCCAATTCATAAACATAGGTATATAGCTATACGGAGTCCCATAATATAATTGTATTATATTTATTATCTTGTTTTATTGTTATATACATTAAAATATATATTATTTTATACCATGTACTTTGAAGACTATAATATTGTAATTTAGATATATATAATAAAGTGGTTTTTTAATTTTTCAACAGTGGTTAACCACAAGTCTAACATCAATGGATAATATTCAAACTTTACTATAGATTATTCAAGGCATTCAAAGTGACGACAAATTTTTTATTATTAATAAGTTTTTAACTTAACATTTTAATATTAAGTACAAATAATATAATTTAGGTAGTTTTAATTAAAAAATCATATTTTAATGATAAGTTGAGGCATCCACAAATTTTCAAAAAACATAAAATTATACCATCTTGTCATAACTCGTTCTAAAAAAAAAAAATAGTTCAGAATCCTGAGGTGTAACTTCATTGCAAATATTTAAAAATAATTAAGGTACCTAATAAAGTACTATAATGCAGCCACTAGTACTCAGATAAACATTGTTACATGGAAGTATGTATACTATAGACATTATTATATTGGAATTATATCTCTTATAAATTATATGATAAATAAAAATTTGTTTTGGAATTTGAATATTTGATTTCTAATTTGATTAGAATATTGGAAAAAAAACTTCTTCAGCATAAAAAAAGGAACATATTTTCATGTTCAAATTTCCTTATTATAATAAGTTAAATAATTTATTGTATTAAGGAATACTACAGTCCAAAACAATGTCCTATTTATTTACACTTCAATAAATAAATTATACTTAAACTTTGAAAATTGTATCTAACATAATTATTATTTAGTGTATTCTGGTGTTTTCTTTTCATATTCTTGGATACTTGTATGTTGCACGGGTATGCCTTTTAATATTTGAGAATTTGATTCTGTTATCTAAAAGAAAAAAAATTAATTTGTAATTTAGCAATTAGTAATTACTATTTTTTATGAATTTAATTTAATTTATATTATTAACGAACTACTAAACTATTTTTAAATTATTTTAAGTATTTCTCCATCAGTAAGCTTAGTATCACCACTTTTGAACAATTTCTAGATTATTACACAATCCATATTAATAAATTTAAATTCCTCAATATATATTATAACTTATGACATAGTTATGAATTTAAAATTTTATAATTATATCAAATAGAAAAATACTAACCTTTACTTTAATATAATGACCCGGTTCAATGTCTTTATTTAATGATGATCCCTTAAGAGATAATTTAGTATTTGGAATAATCACTTTTATATTGCCATCTGTTCGTCCATAAAGATCAGATGAACTTCTCCGACTTTTCTAAAATGTTTAGCATAAAAGAGCATGAAAATAATTATTTTTAAGTTATAAAATTAAAATTTAGTAAGATAATATAGTATATGAATACAAGTTATATATATTTATAAATGTTTATGTAGCTGTTACTTAAAAGGGAAATAAAACAAATTGTAATTAAAACACTCAAATATAGGAATGATTAATTATTTATATTTTTAAGAGACTAACAATACTTAAATAATAAATCAGAAACTAAAATATTAATATTATATATACACTTCAATAATCAAAATATAAAAATATTAACTAATAATTAAATTTTTCAAATTATTCATCATTAAAATTTTGAGTGAAGTATTGGTATATAATTTATATAAGATGTATTGATTTTACCATGATAAAGAAAATATATTTGGATTACTCCAATCATCACAATCATGGGAAGTCTCTGATAGGAAATTGTGTCTAATTGATACTCTAGGTGAGGAAGGGTAATACTTTTTGGTATTTCAGTTTTTTAAATAATAGAGAAAAACAGATAAGTATTGAAATCGACATCGCCTGGTATTTTTTCATGCATTATTTCATGAGACTATATAGAATAGTATTTTGTAGACATTTCATAATTTTTGAAATATTTTTTTAATTAAATATTATTTCAATTAAAAATTAAATCTACTTTCTTAAAAAATTTAGTTCAACTATTAAATCAATCATATTTAGAAATATTAACTAATTCATTTGAACTATTTCATATCAGCATGGTTTTTTTTCGAGACTAATGGTATATTGATTTCAAGTTTATAAGACTAAAAGAGTATCATTAACTTGTTCCCATACCTCACCAGATCTAGGGGTTTCGTTTATTTTTTTATAAATATTTTTTCATACACTTTTTAAACCATAACATCGCAAAAATGTTAAACTATCAAAACAATTTTATAGTTAACCAACCTGATAAACATTTAATTCAAGTATTACAGTGGATTCCACCTAGTGCAGACACTGATTTATATGGGCATCCACATAATATGAGAAAAATAGTCTGGTACCAAATCGAATGTATACTAAAGTTAAAAAAAAAAAAGCACATAATATGGGCACTCAGTTCGGTTTATGTAGACAATATTTATTTTATTATAGCATTAGAATATATATTACTAATTAATACAATAAGGTTTTGTTGTATTTATAAGATTTTGTTTATCAAAAGTATTAAAAATTACTAATTTAAATGGGATTTTGTAGTGAGTTTAATTTAATGTACAGGAGTGTTATAGAGTAATATAAGAATATTAAAATAAAGCGATAAATTTGTTGCTATCATTCCCTAACTCAACAACAATAATTTCAGTTTTACCATAAATTTCAAGGCAATAGTAAATATTTTCAACTATGTCTTGAAAAGATCTTTCCCACAAGAAAAAAATTGAGATTTTTGACAAAATGTAGTATTTTTTTCCGAGCACTTAAATATATGAAATTTCTGAAAAATTATACTATTCATTATTATTTTGAATATTTATTTATCTATTAATTTAATTAAATATTTTTTACAATTTCATGATTTAAGTGTGCAAAATAAAAACTTTTAGGTATAAATGTTTTTGAGTTTAATTTATATGATCAGCAGCTTAATATGAGCAAATGGGTTTAGTCCCAACGTGTTAAGCAGAATCCACTGTATTTAAATTAAATCTATGAAAATCATAAGTAATTTTTTTCTAAATAGTTGTTAACTTAATCATTTATGTAATATTTATTGATATTATATAAACTAACTTACTCCTTCAATCAAAATTAGTTGCTCAGTACCAATATAATGCTTGTTTAATATTTCTGCATCTCTTCTAAATATATTAAACATTCTTTTAACTCTTTCTATTTTAACTTCATACGGAACATCATCTTTATAACGACGATGAGCTGTTGTTTTCTATAAATATGATTAAGATAAGTTAATCATAGGGGTTTATTCAATAAATTTTATTAACCATACTTCTCTCATGCTGTATGCAAATAAGAATGCATTATGGTACTTCACAGTTTCCATTAAACTAATAGTATCTTCAAATTCTATATCAGTTTCACCACAAAAACCTGCTATGAAATCACTAGAGTATGTTACACCAGGTATACGATTTCTTATATGTTGAGCTAAGTTTAAGTATGATTCACGTGTGTAACCTCTTCTCATTCTCTCTAAAACTTCTGAATTTCCACATTGAGCTGGTAAATGTACATTTTTACATACATTAGATTTTTCAGAAATAACATCTAACACCTAAAAAAAAAAAAAAATTATCAATAAAAGTATCTATTTATTTTAATGACCTTTAAGATAGAATGAATGTATTAACTTCATTTGGAAAATCTTTTGGATGTGGAGAAGTAAATCTAATTCGCATTTCTGGATCAACTTCGGATACTCTACTTAAGAGTTCAGCAAATTGAACACCACTTTTTTTTGGTTTGTAAACGGTTTTGAATCCTAATGCTAATGTATGATTCGATGGAATGAAATGTGAAGTAGAACTTAAATCACGATAACTGTTTACATTTTGACCTATCATTGAAAATTAACGAATTAAATAAAATTGCTAATCAAACTTTAACTAAATAATAAATACCCAATAAAGTTACTTCTTTAAAACCTTTATCTGATAAATATTTTATTTCATCCACTATAGATTCTACAGGCCTAGAGCGTTCACGACCCCTGGTAAATGGAACAATACAATAAGTGCACATATTATCACAACCCCTCATTATGGATCTAAAAATAAAAATATAAAATTCATTTCAATAACAGAAAAAAAAATGTGTTTAATTTTATTGTTAATGGCTATTGTTTTTTTCTCATGATTGTTTACAACATTCAAATTGTCAAAATTAAATACATAAGTATGCAAGTTTGGTCAAAAATATGTCTTATTTATTCTACATCAAGAATTTGATATAGACAACTAATGATGATACCAAAAAACCTTAGTACTTTAATCATGATATTATTGATACTTTATTTTAGATCATAGGCGTAACTTGGAAATTTATTAGGGGGGCAAAATATAATAACATATCTAACGAAAAGGGTGTCCAAGACTAAACGACTACATATTATTATATAAAATTATTCATTTTCTAACATTATGTTCGATAAGCGAATATTTAAAATTAAGATTTAAAAAAAAAAAAAATTATAGTAATAGCTATAACCAACTGTTTTGTACTTATTTTAAAACAAGGTATGTTAAATATCAGAGGGGGCACTGCCCCTCCTAATTTATTCTAGGGTCAATTGCTCCCCTGGCCCCCCAGTTTACACCTATGTTTTAGATTGTTGTTTCAGTAAAATGATGAAATTTATAAATATTTGCAAGCCAAACATAACAGCCAATAAATTTATTTATATTTGATGAAAATAATTATTGATCGCAATTGGTTTAATGAATTTTAACTTACACATAAGCAGTAATATTATCTTCATTCAATTTTACAGGTTTTATTTCAGCATAAGTTTCATCATATGATAATATAACATTAATAGCTTTTTGACCAATTTCAGTTTTTGCTAATAGTCTTGGTAAATCCCTATAACTGTCAGGACCAGCTACAAGATCTATAACTCCCCTAGAATTACTTACTAATTTCTCTTTTAGTCGTTCTGCCATACAACCTAAAATCAGAAAAGCATTAATTAAAATTTAATGGACATGAGTAATTGTAAATGAAATTAAAATAATTGTAATGTTTACCTAAAATTCCAACTTTTAATGGCTCCAATTTTCCCCTCCAACGTTTGACTGAACGTATTTGCTTAATACGTGTCCATACTTTATTTTCAGCACTATCGCGAATTGCACATGTAATGAGCAGAGCTACATCAGCATCATAAACACTGTTGGTTTTAGTATAACCTTTATCTTGTAAGATAGACCAAACAATTTCAGCATCATTAACATTCATTTGGCAACCATATACTTCAATGAAAACTTGAAACAAAAAAAATTTAAAGTTGACTAACAAAATTAATTTCAATCATATCATGTAATCTTTTATAAATAAAATACAAAAGAGAAATTTTATAAATACTATATAAAAAGAATATATTTGATTGCATGTTTTGTTGCGATTAAAGAATAAAGTATTTAAATCAGTAAATATATAGGTAAAACAATAGTTTTTCTAGTTTTGAAGATTTATTTGATGAAATTAATCAATAATTTACAATAATTAAACATTTGAAAACAGTCATATATACATATAAGTATATAAAATATAATATAAAGTGTAAGGACATTTAAACTTATTAACTAAACAGGAAGTAGGCCATTTAATATACATACTTTTCTTAGACAAAAATATACACAACACATTGAAGCTATTAATGTTATATCTATTTTTTAAAAAGAATAATATCATAAAGCAGATTCCATACAGGGTCTGTCAAGTGTAACAAAACCGTTATTATAAAAGATACTTAACGGTTTTTTATCTGATACTTATTTTTTTATAATATAAAAGATACTCATAAAAAAATAAGTATCAGATACCTATATGTTTACTAAAAAAATAGCTTTTAAACTCAATTTGAAAGACTTGGTATGTAGACATAAAACTTTTTAATCACCTTTTCTATTTTGTCCCAGATCAGTCATATCCACATACGGAATTTTATCATTATCATTTACAAGCTCAACTTTTTGTTCTTCAGGTAAACTGTTTGCAATGAAGTCTTTTAGACTGGGTCCATCAAATTTATTTTCATTTTTTTTTTCGTTTATTATTATACTACTACAGCGATTCCTTGAATTATATATTTTTCTGTGCAATAATAAAATATCTTTGTATTTTAATACATGTCTTCGATAACAGTTAATTAGATTTAATTGTTTAAACAGCATATTGGAACCACAAGAAAAAAATAACTGGTTAATATTTTTACAACCAATTAGAATTACGATTTTTAGTCGATTAAAGACAACGGTAACAGCATGATAAAATAAATAAATTTTTATGGGTTACAGTTGCATGTAAAGTAAGTTATCAAGTCATTATCATAAAATTATATTATCCATAGCACTGTGGCGTACCTCCACACGCTCCACCACAACATTGCCGTAAAGGTGGCGACATTGACGTTGCCCCCACACTCCGTCACTCGAGGACCTCCATTAGCCGCTCGACCTACTTGTCACCGGACCCGAAGCTCGTCGTCAACGACACCCTTTTATGCGCTATTTTCGCAAAGTTCGTCTCAAGACACCTTCTACCGACAACCGACCGCGCACCGACTCGACACCGTCGTACGCGACTATTGAACCGCCTAACTCGGACACACTCCTGTTGTACATTATATCTTTGTAAATAAAAACTGTTTATCATACGACAAAACCCCGTGTTCACGTTATTTAACTGGTGACCTCACTAAATACATTCTGTTGGCGGTGATAATACGACACCGCCACAGCACGAATTAAGATAATACTATTATCTTAGTCCGTGATAATGATAGAAGTTATATAGTATCCCGAGATTTTTAAAACGGGAAAAATACTAATATGTTATACTGTTATCAAATTTTGCACCCATTTAAAAATTATTTAACTTTAACTACAAAAATGGATAAAATTTAAAAACAATGGTAACATATAATTTTCTGAATCATCTAATCATGTATTTGTTTTTGGATTAAAACTTTAAAGCGTATGATTTATAGTACACTTTTGACTTGTATTATTTTAGTAACCAATGTTGTTTCTGCGCTGCGTCCGCTCCTACGAGGACGGCGGTTGTCGGCCGCGACTCGCGGGGTGTTGGGATAAGGTGACCCTTGTTTAACAATAATAACATAAACTACTAATATTTAGTGTACATATATTATATTATGAACAAAATTAGGCGCCCTTACGTATACAAAAACAAATAAATACATAAACCTGCGCCGCAGACGCGCTAGGCAATATAAATAATAATAATAATAATATCTTTCGCGTCAGCGCGATATTGGTGTACCTTGTGGTAGCCCCAGACCGTGCGGTTTCAAATGTAATTAGAAAATGCTTTTACACGAAGTACGAAATAAAGACACCTGACAACGACAAAAAGCCATTCGACAATACACCATCTTCATAATCCGACAAAATGCCGCCCGCCAAAAAACCATCATACTACACTACATTACCAACCTTATATTTGGGTACGATAATTCTCAATTATTTCTGTAATTATTTCGACAAAAATTCACCAAAATGAATTAACAATTATCTAAATGAATTATTTTTTTAGCGCTACAATTGAAATACTAGTTATACAATTATTTCGTATACTTCGTAAATCGTATATAGCACTCATATTAAATTAGTTATAGTTATATTTATAAACTAGTTATAACAATGCTTTATACGAAATAAGAGTTTATTTGGCATAGTTAATGGTGTCATAAACACGCTTAGGTATCCAGATACAATTAATATAAATCACAACACGAGGCGATTCAAAAGTATTTTAAATATTATTATGGTGTAAAATTAAACTAGAATATAAATGTTGATGGTTCTGAGTAATATTATTTCTCTGAGGCTATACTGTCCAGGGTCGTTTTCCATTTCATTATATATATAAACATTTTTTGGTATCGCATAAAGACTTTAAATTGCACTCTCTAACTTTTTAGCCGTAGTGAAAGATTTCAGAGGACAGAGTACGGATTCAGAACGAGTTCAAAATACCCCATCAGGCTTAGATTATCGGAAGTTTTTTTATAAAATCATTATAAGGACCTTAATATTTAGATAAAAGGCTCTTTAAAAAAATGTCCCCAGAGACCTTTAGTGTGCTAGGCTGGACTTATAAGATATTATAACTAAGTATTTTTCCTTTTAATGTTTTTACAGGAATATTTTTATTAATTATTATAATAACTTTATAAGTTAAGTTGTCACTATAAACAATTGGTATTTACTATTTCAAAATTAATAATAATAGTAATATTAAAAAATATTTTACACATTAATTTAAATTTGTATTATTTACTTATAATTTAAATTCCTAACCAATATAAAAATATTTGGGGGTGGAAATCCCTTACCCCCGCCCCCTTATAAACGCCACTGCATTAAGTAATAACTTATTAGTTATTATACTTATATTATATATATTATACCACTATCTTACTACCTATTTTACAAATCTTATCATGAAGACCGTTATTTTGTGACCAAAATTAGATCAGAAATGTCGTCCTTAGCCCGAATATCTGCAGGGGTCCCATAAGGAGCCGTTTCATCTCCTACCCTTTACAACCTGTACTCAGCTGATCAACCGATAACCCCTTACACCTCAGTTGCAGATTTTTCCGACGACATAATTATCTATTCCACACACAAAGATCCAATAATTGCTGGCATGAATCTACAAAACCACCTAGACCTCATGTCTTCTTGGTACGACAAGTGGAAAATAAAAATAAATCACGAAAAATCTACCCATCTAACTTTTACATTAAAACATGGTACTGTACCACCTATACATTTAAAAAACTAAAATATTCCAAAATCCTCGAGTTATCGTTATTTGGGCTTGTTTCTAGATCAACGATTAACTTGGGCAGACCACATAAAAAATAAAAAAATCCTCTTAAACTCTAGACGAAAATCGCTACAATTCTTACTCGGTAAACATTCTAAACTTAATATAAAAACAAAATTACTTCTAGTTATATAAAACTTTATTAATGCCCATTTTGACATACGGGATCCAGTTATGGGGCGCAGCCAAAAAATCAAACACAAATAAAATTCAAACTTTCCAATCCACAACTTTCCGGTTAATCACAAATGCGCCATTTCACGTTTCTAATCACACCCTCCATACAGATTTAAAAATGAATACGATAGAAGAAACTGCCAAAATCTTTTATAAACGTTTCCGCTCCCGACTGTCAAACCACTCCAATCCACTAATCTCTGCTCTAGATTCCGACTCCATTCTTGGTAACCCTCTTCGTCGACTGAAGAGAAAATGGTGTAGGGACTTAAATATCAATTAGCTAAATATTTAAAGGTAAATTTAAATTCAACCTAATCATGTCAAAAAGTGTCGCCATTGGATGGCTGCTTTTATCACGTAATGTCAAGCTATATTATATATTTCCGCATGCGTACTTAGTGTAATAATTCATTTACAGATTGTACGCCTTAAAAAAAAAATTTTTCTCTTACTCAGAGTTTTTTTGCCTCAATTATTTTATACAAGTCATAAATAATCTTTTATTACTTATTTTTTTAATGTTATAAATTTTTCTTTTTTTATGTTTTGTTACAATTTTACAGTTTAACTCATTTTTCCTTTGAGTTTTTTTTTATTTATATACATTTGTTATTATGATACTTTTCACATTTTTTTTTTCATTATGTGTTATTTTTTTTTTTTACATTTTTTTATTTTTAATTTATTTTAACTTATTGTTGCAATTTTTTTTTTTGCAACCTATTGTTTTGTTATACATAGGTACATAAATATACTATGATTAACTATGTAACTTTATTATTTTTATTTTAATTTTATGTATTAAAAAGATGCTTCATTATTTTTTGATCAAAATTATTATATCATTTAAGTTTTATTTATCTGATTGGTTTTAAATTTGGAAATTTTTTCAATTTGAAATCATAATATTTTCCTCTTAACACTAATATTCTAATTATTAGTAATATAAGTCTAAAAATTAGCTAAATAAATCCTAGTTCAAAGATATTTACTGCATAATAAATATTAAAATATTAATTGTATATGGTTTATGAATAATATATGTTTAAATGTTCTTGTGCATCAATATAAATATAAACATGAATCATAATTCTAAATTCAAGAAATCTTCTAAATTAATAATTAATAGTCTTTATTTTTTTTTGTAAAATATTTTAAAAATTAGATGAGCAATTTTCAACGAATCAGTGGCGCCGAAGTACAAAATTACATGTATGGCATTGACCTCCGACCACCACCCACCCACCCCCACCACAACACACACAATCACATAACCCACTTAATAAATTTGAAACCTGTCAAACAATTTTCCACCCACTTTTATTTTTGATAAACTCTCTTATATTTTCCAACTAATTCGTATGTAAATATTAACATAAATATAAAATATAATTATATTTAATTACCTGCTAATTGCTATGATACCTATTACAAAATACAAACAAAATGTCAAAACGCAACCTTTTATATTATATTATATACAATATTAATAATAATTATGTCCTTTCGTAACAATATTATTATAAGTATTAAATATTTATTAATAAATCAAACATTTAGTTAGAACACTACTTTTAGCTGCAAATAACAAAATTACATTTTCATTATTAATAATTATATCTTGCTCACATGATATTTTCATTAAACTATCGAGACGATCTTGTGACATAGTTGTTCTTAACTTTGTTTTTATAAGTTTTAATTTAAAAAACGTTCGCTCTACGCTACAGCTTGTTACAGGTAATGTGATAGATAATTTTAAAACTAAATATAAATTTGGAAAAATATTAGCTAATTTAGCCAAACAAAATAGTTTAAATAATTCCCTCGTACTTGCTATGTTATGATAAACAACTTTTGCAGAATCTTCTTCCGCACTATCATAACTATATGCGTTTAACTCTAGTGAATCTTCATAATCTTCAACTATTACATTGTTGTTAAGATACTTAGGAAGTAAAATACTGTTTTCTATTTCAGTAAAATTTTTACAAAATTCAGTATATTCTGTCAATAATGAGTTTTTATCGATTTGTGAGTACATGGTACACAAAGCGTCAAAGGTATCACAAGGTACAATGTGTGGATTATTTTGAACTTCTCGAATACGTCTAAATGAAAGAAGGGATAAGTCTTTTAGAGGTCCTATATTGGTGCTTTCAAAATGTCCACTTAACTCTGCTAAAAGAATATCCATTATGACATTGTATGTATCAATTCTAAATTTTTTCATGGGACATGATATAATTTCATCCTGACAATGTTCACCTGAAATTAATATTACATTTTGAAATTAAGAACAATCATACTTTCTTAATAAATTTAATTAATAATTGATATTTATTATGAAAATTATATACACCTGATTTTCTTGGAACACGTTTGGGTCGACTAGATACAAGAGGTAAAAAGTCAACAATACTATTTTCAGCAAACTCATCAGTCCTTTTTAGTAATCTTTTAAACGAATCATCATTTCTAAGTTCTTTGATTTGATGAATCACATTATTTAAAATATTTGTGGCCATAAGCATATCCATATCTTGGGACTGCAATTGGCGGGTGACAGGTTCAAGTATTTGAAATATAGTTTTGAATAATAATGCTGTTAGAAGAAAACGTTGGGATGTAAGGTATGATATCAAACCACTACAACTCGCACCAACTACTACATCAGCAGATCCTTCAGAATCTTTAATTTTATTTAATGTTTTTAAAACTGCATTGTGGAATTTTAAAACTACATGTAATGCTGCCGCATGAGAACTCCAACGTGTTGTACTTACTCTCTTAACAGCATGCAATGGATTATTTTTACCTTCCATATTACCACATTCAATTTGAATTTCTCTGAAAATCGCTGCTCTTTTTTTTTAACACCAAAGAAAAATATAGAGAGTTTCTAAATTGCCAAATAAATCAACTGCGTTGGAGTTGCATGATACTGCTTGTTTTACTACCAAAGCCAAACGATGGGAGTGACACCACACAAATAATGCTTGTGGGCTTTCTTCTTTAATATGAGCTTGGAGGCCATTATAGTTACCACGCATGTTACTAGCTCCATCATATGACTGACCAACCAGCTCTTCTTTCCAATTCAAATTTTCAGCTTCCATTACATTTACAAAAATGTCATATAATTTTTTTCCAGATGTAATTGGTGATTCCTTTACTGCTAATAGTCTTTCATGAACCTCACCAGTCACTTCATCAGCATATCTAAAAAACATATTAATATAACATAACAAAACATATTAGTTAAAATAATTGTATTTATTTACCGTATAATAAATGATATTTGTTCATTACGAGATGCATCAAATGTAGTATCAATCGATATGCTAAACATTCTTACAGTTTTAATAAATGATCGTATTTGAAATGAAATATCTTTGGCAATAGCTTCAATCAACTGATTTTGTCTTTGCCATGAAATAAAAGATGTTTCACGTTTTCCATTTTGTTGAATACAGTTTATGTGTTCCGCTAATGGTCCGGAATTTTTAGACATTAACATAACCAAGTCCTTAAAATTACCTCGAGAATTTGAAAACCAATCCTCATAATGCCCACGAAATGCCAGGTTATGACGTCCCATGTATATTACAATGTCTATAAGCTCTAATAAAACTTGTCTATTCATTGCTATCTGAGTTTTTCTATTATTTTCAATTGAAGGCAAAATTGGCACATTGTTTTGACGTAATTTACATTTTAAAGATGATGTTACATGATCTGGAGTTAATTCATGTCTTTGAATAGCAAATGAACAATTTTTCCATTTATTAAACCCTTCTTTGGTCCAAGATTTTTCTAAATTACTATGCAAATTGGTTCCAAAAAGCATGCAATGAATACAAAATATTTTATTTCTGCTTAATGAATAAGACAACCAATCACGATGGCATTTTGATTTATCAGACAAAATTCTGTAATAATGTTTATCATTAAAACTTCTTTTTATCTTTTCATTGTTAATTTCATAAGGAAATATTTTATTAGGTAAATCATCTTGTAACGGTTGACAAGGACCAAATTTTAAGATGTAATCTTTAATTTCTAGTGACAAAATAGACATTTTAGCAAAAATTGCTGGATCATTTTTAATTATATCCATATCCATATCATCTAAAATAAAAGTTGACAGTTCAAAAATTATCCTAAGTAAATAGACTCATGGTAACATATAAATTTTATTTAGAACTTTTTTATTCTAATGAACTATCAAATAAAATTAAGTATCAATATTAAGAACACAATACACATATTATAATGATTAACCTATTATAAAACTGATAATAAACATGTCGATTATGTTTGCAATAAGTCATTTATGAAATTAGGTCTTTTAAAGCCCATATGTATATGTTTCTACGATAGCTCAGCATCAAAAACTATATTTCTCATTAGTTAGATCTCAAATAAAATATGCTACATTAATATGGTTAGGTTATGGCACACTGACAATATTAGACAATATACATGCCTTTCCTTAATTCAAAATAATTTTTTATGATATCTGTCATATAATTTTAATATGAAAAGAACCCCTCAGTCAGGAATTAGGATATAATACAATTGGTAATTTATTTAAAATTGATTCTTTAAAAAACATAAAATAGCATTAAATTTAAGATTCTTAATCAAATTATTGCATAAGATGACTTATTGTGTAGAACTTCTTGAAGAATTAAAATTTAAGGTAAATACAATCAACTCCAGAAATAAACCTACATTTTATCTGTCAAATTTTAAAATTAAATATTTGTCACATAGCCCTGCTAAAATTTTAATGTCTGCAGGTTACAATGTATTACATTTTGATTTGTTTCCATAGATACCTACTACTTCTGATAAACATTTTTTTTTTTTTTTTTTTTTAGTGTTATTTAAATAATACTTACTAAATTAATTATTAGTTTTAATTTAATTGTATTTTCTTATCTTATTATTATAAATTATTATACCTATGTTTTTTCTTTTAGCTAAATAGATATGTTAGGTACCCCCTACATAATATTTGTTATGCCTTTAAAAAAATGGAAAAAACATATTATTTCACTGTTCGTACATCACTATTACTTTATCTTATAGATTATTATTTATATTATTATTTTTATTATTATAGGCAAAGGTACAAAAAACTAAATATTCAAAATATATAAATAGGTACATAAAAAATGACAAATAATTTAAGTACATACCTTTATTTTGCAAACATGAGCTTATCTCAGTATCTTTTTGAATTTCACATTCAACCAATGATTCTTTATTAACTGGAGTACTTTGGTCTTCATTTAAATCATTGTTCACATCAAAAATAGCTAAAAATATGTATTAAA